ATAGCTATTTGTGTATTAATAGCATAAAGTAACACTTTAGCTGTTGAGACAAAAAGTTATCGAAACAGTCAAAAGTACTTTCTGTTCGAATTACACACAAGATTTTTTCTACGATCACACCAAAATAAAATAAATAATTAAATTTTATCAGAAATGGGTTACCTTTTTTTTTTCGTTATATTTTAAGCTTATTTGACATAAACCTATTCTTCGAAGAGAAAAAATGTTTTAGTATTTATATGCCGGTAATTATTTATAATTTAACCATTTAATTATTTATGGAAAATACTGTTCAATGATTTAAAATATTTGGAAGTCATTTAATAGCTATTTATGTAAGCAGTTACGAAAATGAACGAGTTACACTAAACGGCATTTCGAAACATGTTATATACAAGATTCTTTTTAATTTTGACTTGATTATTTATAAAATTGTGTTTGGTTAAAAAATGATTCACCATCATTCTTTTGTAGGTACTTCCAATCAAATATTGTATTTGTTTGCCCTATGACGTTTTTTGTTTCAATAGTAATAATAAAAATAATGGACATGTGCAGTGTTGCCGATTTGTTTTTTGACACAACCTTCGAGAAATTTAAAGAAAAAACGTTTTTACCAGTTTTCCATAAAGGCGTAGGTCAACATTTTACCCCTAACAGTTTTCAATAATGAAGTTCTATTATTTAAAAATTAAAACGCAATTTACAGCTTCTATTTTTTTGTTTTCTTTTTTGCTGTTAAACGTAATGTTAAATTTTTAAATGTAAAATGTTACTGTTCATTGCCTTTTTTTCAATTTTTCGATTTTTCGATTTTTCGATTTTTCGATTTTCCGATTTTTCGATTTTTCGATTTTTCGATTTTTCGATTTTTCGATTTTTCGATTTTTCGATTTTTCGATTTTTCGATTTTTCGATTTTTCGATTTTTCGATTTTTCGATTTTTCGATTTTTCGATTTTTCGATTTTTCGATTTTTCGATTTTTCGATTTTTCGATTTTTCGATTTTTCGATTTTTCGATTTTTCGATTTTTCGATTTTTCGACTTTTCGATTTTTCGATTTTTCGATTTTTCGATTTTTCGATTTTTCGATTTTTCGATTTTTCGATTTTTCGATTTTTCGATTTTTCGATTTTTCGATTTTTCGATTTTTCGATTTTTCGATTTTTCGATTTTTCGATTTTTCGATTTTTCGATTTTTCGATTTTTCGATTTTTCGATTTTTCGATTTTTCGATTTTTCGATTTTTCGATTTTTCGATTTTTCGATTTTTCGATTTTTCGATTTTTCGATTTTTCGATTTTTCGATTTTTCGATTTTTCGATTTTTCGATTTTTCGATTTTTCGATTTTTCGATTTTTCGATTTTTCGATTTTTCGATTTTTCGATTTTTCGATTTTTCGATTTTTCGATTTTTCGATTTTTCGATTTTTCGATTTTTCGATTTTTCGATTTTTCGATTTTTCGATTTTTCGATTTTTCGATTTTTCGATTTTTCGATTTTTCGATTTTTCGATTTTTCGATTTTTCGATTTTTCGATTTTTCGATTTTTCGATTTTTCGATTTTTCGATTTTTCGATTTTTCGATTTTTCGATTTTTCGATTTTTCGATTTTTCGATTTTTCGATTTTTCGATTTTTCGATTTTTCGATTTTTCGATTTTTCGATTTTTCGATTTTTCGATTTTTCGATTTTTCGATTTTTCGATTTTTCGATTTTTCGATTTTTCGATTTTTCGATTTTTCGATTTTTCGATTTTTCGATTTTTCGATTTTTCGATTTTTCGATTTTTCGATTTTTCGATTTTTCGATTTTTCGATTTTTCGATTTTTCGATTTTTCGATTTTTCGATTTTTCGATTTTTCGATTTTTCGATTTTTCGATTTTTCGATTTTTCGATTTTTCGATTTTTCGATTTTTCGATTTTTCGATTTTTCGATTTTTCGATTTTTCGATTTTTCGATTTTTCGATTTTTCGATTTTTCGATTTTTCGATTTTTCGATTTTTCGATTTTTCGATTTTTCGATTTTTCGATTTTTCGATTTTTCGATTTTTCGATTTTTCGATTTTTCGATTTTTCGATTTTTCGATTTTTCGATTTTTCGATTTTTCGATTTTTCGATTTTTCGATTTTTCGATTTTTTGATTTTTCGATTTTTCGATTTTTCGATTTTCCGATTTTTCGATTTTTCGATTTTTCGATTTTTCGATTTTTCGATTTTTCGATTTTTCGATTTTTCGATTTTTCGATTTTTCGATTTTTTGATTTTTCGATTTTTCGATTTTTCGATTTTCCGATTTTTCGATTTTTCGATTTTTTTTTTTTTTTAACCAAAGAAGCGTCACCTTGAGTTTGAAGTAGGAACTAAAATGACAATTGACAGATGGCGGTAAATTTTAAATGATTTCCACGTTAATTATTTTATAAAATGAAGTATAAAATTTATTATTAGAGAGTTATTGCAAGTTCACTTAAGGTCAGTCACTATTAGTGCCGCTCTAATTTTGACATCTGAGCATGCGTAGATCACTAACTTTAATAAAGATTGTGCCTGTCCTTAATAAGAGAGTTAATGGCAGCGTTCATCCGCGCCACATGCTACCTGATCGATCTGGTAGCGCTCTCGAGTGGCACGTATGAACGGTGTATTTTGACATTTCGCTCAAGGAGCGGCCGCCATTAAAAGTAGCGCATTTTATTTACGTCTGATCGGTGATCACTGATCTGTCTTACGCACTTACGTCCACGGTTTGCTTGGTGACTAGTAGGGTTATATTAGCAATTGAAAAATAAACAAACAAATCTTCAACCAGAGACATTCAACTCAAAAGTAAAATGAATAAACCAAAATCAAATGTCACTTTTAAACATGGTTCATCCGTGCATAAAGATCGATCAGGTAGCGTAAGTGATCGCTACTTTTGTAGCGCTCCTTGAAATGGCGCGGATGAACGCAGCCATTGCAAGTTCACTTAGGGTCAGTCACTATAGACCTTTTCATCATGTGATGAGCGCAAGCGCAGCCACCATGTTGAAATAGCGGTAATTCAAAAGTTTCGTACTGTTTTGATCGACAATGGCTGGGAAACCAATGTTATCTCTACAGAAAAATTAATCATTAGAAAAAATCGTTGATAGTGAATAACTTTTTTATAACTCTGTGGAAGCGCTGTGAGCAGTTGAAAAGGAGGTTGAAGTGTCTTGGATGTTTGTTACAAAGGAACAAAGTGGACTAATTGAGAGGTTAGGTGTATCAATACTTTTTAACTCTGTAAAAAATTAATGAAAACAAATAATAAGTATAACTTTATTCTAATTAATTATGCCAACCAACTATTACTACTTGCAATAACACTTTAATTAGCATGAAAGTTAATCACGAGTATAATTAATAAAATAAATTATTTATTATTTTGAGGATCAACATGACATTTTTATTCATTTAATGTGTATACCGAAGTAGTATTTAATATTAAAAAATATTGTTTAATACCAGATGAGAATTTTCTTCTGTTGGACCAGTTTCACCATGAAAATGCAGTGAAATATAAGTATCTTTAGTAACATCATTAATCCATCTTCGACCATATTTTTTCACACTTAATGCACATTTCGAATATCTTTTAATATGGATTTTGCCTGATAATTGTTTACGATATTGCAGTTAAGGCTTTGGAAAATTTATAAAATAATATCTATTGCCTTTGAATGATTTATACCGTGTGTCACTTTTACATAACAACACTGTTTCGTTGTTCCTTTCCGTACAGATAACAATTATAATTGATTGTGAAAATGTATTTTTCAATTAAGACACCAAACTTATTATTACTTTACTTTTTTCTTCCTTTTTTTAAATGAATATAGACTTAAATTAATATTTATCAATTATAATTTTTTTCACGTAAGCATTTTAACATACTTGTTTACAAAAACAGTACGAAAAAGATGGCGGAAACTGACGCATGCGCACAAAAAAAATTGTGATGAAAAGGTCTATTAGTGCCGCTTTTATTTTGACATCTAAGCATGCGCAGATGTTTATGTTCTAAAACTGACTTTATTAAGGATTGTGCCTGTCCTTAATTGTGGATGTTTAAGGGCAGCAGGTAGTGGCGACTTTATACCTTTCGGATGCGCTCGTGATTTAAACCTTCTAAAATTATAATTTTTAATGCCTCTTTAATATTAGGTACTATTATAGAATTTATTTGACTCTAATTACAATGTCACTATTAGTGGCTGGCTTTATAGAAATTTGCAATATCTCTCTATTAAGGACAGGCACAATCTTTATTAAACTTAGTGATCTGCGCATGCTCAGATGTCAAAATAAGAGCGACACTAATAGTGACTGACCCTAAGTGAACTTGCAATAACTCTCTAATGAATAAAGCAGTTCATTGACGGTTCATTAAATCACTTACGGCTATGTCATTTCACTTGCTTTCTACAATGCATATTTTCATAAATTAATCAATATTCAAAAGCTGTAATGAATTGTAAATACGTCCTTATAGTTTGATTAGCAATATAGCATTCAGCTATTGATGTGAGGTAATGATATATCAACAAGTCCAAGGGAGGTTAACAACAACCCCTGCACTGGAAATTACAAAAACTAGTGGCTTTGCTAGTACATTAAAACGTCTTAATATTAATAAAATTCCCTCGGATTATATTTTAGGCCACCAAAATTCAGAGAAATTGAAAATTCAAATTATACTAGCAAAATTTTTATTTATGCGGAAGCGGAAAATTGAAATTTAAATGGTCTAAATGAATAAATAAAAAAAAATATAACGAACGCGAAGAGGAGAATTTAAAGAAGGTAAAAGAACCTAAAGACAAAAAAAAATTGTGAGGAATTTTTTAGGAGGAAACAGACGAAGAATAGTAAGTACAAAAAGTAGAGGAAGTAGTGGAAGTATAGAAACTAGAGGAATTAGAGAAGGTAAATGAAGTAGAGGAAGTAAAAAAAGTAAAGGAAATACAGAAAGTAGAGGAAGTAGAGGAAGTAGAGGAAGTAGAGGAAATAGAGGAAGTAGAGGAAGTAGAGGAAGTAGAGGAAGTAGAGGAAGTAGAGAAAGTAGAGGAAGTACAGGAAGTAGAGGAAGTAGAGGAAGTAGAGGAAGTAGAGGAAGTAGAGGAAGTAGAGGAAGTAGAGGAAGTAGAGGAAGTAGAGGAAGTAGAGGAAGTAGAGGAAGTAGAGGAAGTAGAGGAAGTAGAGGAAGTAGAGGAAGTAGAGGAAGTAGAGGAAGTAGAGAAAGTAGAGGAAGTAGAGGAAGTAGAGGAAGTAGAGGAAGTAGAGGAAGTAGAGGAAGTAGAGGAAGTAGAGGAAGTAGAGGAAGTAGAGGAAGTAGAGGAAGTAGAGGAAGTAGAGGAAGTAGAGGAAGTAGAGGAAGTAGAGGAAGTAGAGGAAGTAGAGGAAGTAGAGGAAGTAGAGGAAGTAGAGGAAGTAGAGGAAGTAGAGGAAGTAGAGGAAGTAGAGGAAGTAGAGGAAGTAGAGGAAGTAGAGAAAGTAGAGGAAGTAGAGGAAGTAGAGGAAGTAGAGGAAGTAGAGGAAGTAGGGGAAGTAGAGGAAGTAGGGGAAGTAGAGGAAGTAGAAGAAGTAGAGAAAATAAAGAAAGTAGAGGAAGTGCAGGAGGTGAGGAAGTAGAAGTAGTAGGGAAAGTAGAGGAAGTAGAGGTAGTAGAGGTAGTAGAGGTAGTAGAGGAAGTAGAGGAAGTAGAGGAAGTAGAGGTAGTAGAGGTAGTAGAGAAAGTAGAGGAAGTAGAGGAAGTAGAGGAAGTAGAGGAAGTAGAGGAAGTAAAGGAAGTAAAGGAAATAGAGGAAGTAGAGGAAGTAGAGGAAGTAGAGGAAGTAGAGGAAGTAGAGGAAGTAGAGGAAGTAGAGGAAGTAGAGGAAGTAGAGGAAGTAGAGGAAGTAGAGGAAGTAGAGGAAGTAAAGGAAGTAGGGGAAGTAGAGAAAGTAGAAGAAGTAAAAGTAGTAGAGAAAGTAGTAGAGAAAGTAGAAAAAGTAAAGGAAGTAGAGAAAGTAGAAGAAGTAAAAGAAGTTGAGGAAGTAGAGGAAGTAGAGGAAGTAGAGGAAGTAGAGAAAGTAGAGAAAGTAGAGAAAGTAGAGAAAGTAGAGAAAGTAGGGAAAGTAAAGGAAATAGAGAAAGTAGAAAAAGTAGAGGAAGTAGAAGAAGTTGAGGAAGTAGAGAAAGTAGAGGAAGTAGAGGAAGTAGAGAAAGTAGAGAAAGTAGAGAAAGTAGAGAAAGTAGAGGAAGTAGAGGAAGTAGAGGAAATAAAGGAAATAGAGGAAGTAGAGGAAGTAGGGGAAGTAGAGGAAGTAGAGGAAGTAGGGGAAGTAGAATAAGTAAAGAAGTAGGAGTGTAGTTATAGGAAAAGTCAAGCCCAAGATGAGCAGATAGTCACGAAGAATTGAGAAATGTTTTATTATTAGAAAGACGAAAATACAAAAGCAAGAAGAAATTTACTTTATTTCTGGTCACCCTTTTAAAATTCACTTTTGTAATTAAAACCTTCTTAACTAGGGTTAAATTTACCTTAACTAAAGTTATTTTTAGAAAAATCTACAAATTTTCATCTATACCCAGAAACAAATAATACAAATTAGTTTCTTGATACTGTTTAAAAAATATTTAAAATTTTCTATTGTTTACCACTTATCTTTATTGCCTATTTTGATTTTCAACAATATTTAAGAAGGAAATTAGATTATGATAAGAAACAAATATGTATATATAAAGAGAATTCATAAAATATAATAATCACGTAGTTATTTGTTGCTTCAAAAATAGGAAACTAAAAATAGTTTACAATCAATCTCAAGATGAAGTATGTCATAATTTTCGCTCGTTTGGTAAGAAGTCATTAAATAATTTTCGTATATTAATAATCCTAAAATACACCTTTCTGTGGACACTGAATCTGTGCTAGGAGGAACAGCTATTATTATAACTGGGCATCATTGTTCTCACAACAGCCCTGGGTAGCTATTCTTGAATTCGAGGGAATAGAAAACCGGTTTTGCCTCTTTATCTGCAACGCGCAAAATTTGTATTTTTGTCTCATTCTTCCCTCAAAATTTCTACTCCCTGAGATTCAAGAATAGATACCCAGGGTAGCTATTCTTGAATTCGAGGGAATAGAAAACCGGTTTTGCCTCTTTATCTGCAACGCGCAAAATTTGTATTTTTATCTCTTTCTTCCCTCAAAATTTCTACTCCCTGAGATTCAAGAATAGATACCCAGATATCGATGCTTCGTCCACGCCGTGGATAAGTGACCAATGGTACTGACGGTTTACCGACAAATGAGTGACTAAATGGATACGGAAATATGGTCATCAACTGGTAACAAAATGAGTCTTGTGGGCCACACCTTTCAGTCGGACTTTCAGTCGAAAATCCAGAAATCCTCCGATCATCAACATCGAACCGGTAACCCACTGCTATTTGTAATATGGATAATGTATTAGCAGGACTTAAATTTGTAATAATGCGGCACCTAACAAACCATGTTTTTAGAAAGTTAATCGAAAGAATCATATACTTTTATCTAAATTTATATATAATTAAGGGGGCCAGCTCTTGCGGCTGTACTGTACTAAAATGAAATTTGGGAAAAGTATTTAATATAAAAGACATTGAGAAGAATCGCCGAAAATAATTTTTAAGTTTTTAACTTCTTAAATGGCGTAATACTTATTACCAATGATAAACATATGAACGAGAGCGCAGCAGTATTAATTAAAATTTCGCAAATAGTACGATTTTTAAATTTATTACATAAATTATCTTAAAAACTTTTCAAAATTTGTTTAGATATTTTTAGGGACCACTATTGTTTGGAAACAAAAATTTCCCTAGCTGAACGATATGGTCGGAATCCATTCTTCTTTGGACACGCAGTACATATTTTTCTTTGACTGACCATGGGAATAATCATCTCAGCTTCTACTTTATGGCCTAACTTCCAAGAAGTTGCCTATTTTTACGGATTTTATCTTTAACCTTCCATAATTTTTAGAGGTGTTCCCAATTAAGCTTAATCTTTTTATTTTTTCATTTAATTGACGTATTAAATTTTTATCAAATTTGACTTAATATGTTTTTAATTTTCTTTTGGTAAAGTGCAACTTTGTCGTTTGCTGATGATGCTGAAGCCACTATACTTTGGAAACAACAAAGAAGCGACAAAGCCAACCCGAAAAGGATCTGAAAATGAGACTGGATTAAATTTGGGTGAAGAAATTGTCCAGTAAGTTGAATATGTCCATACATACCGTTGCAATCGCAATTGATTTTAAATTCCAATGGTGATACATCTATTCAGCCCTTTTCATCCCTTGGACATAGACTCCATAGATTGTCAAATGAAATATTTACTAAATAGATTTTTGTTTTTAAGGTAAATAGAAGATAACCTAAACATGAGGTTTCCAATAGACTTGACAACAAACCCGCTGTGAATTTTAAATATTAAATATTACTTTTGTGACATAAAATAATTATAAATAAATAAATAAAGTAGTAATAAGCATAACAGCGCCCATGGTAGATAATAGTACCATTTTTTTTAAATCCTATTAATTGAGAATAATACATTCTTGTTGTATGTGCAAAATGTCAAATTTCTGGGATATAAAAGTTATCACTACAGTTTGAAGTTGTTAAATGAATACGCAAATTCAAATTAGAAATACTGATTTTTTGTTAATTGGTCACTTATACATCTTTATAATTTTTAATATTAACTCTTAACGCTAAAATCACTGTTTAATGTCGTCATACTAGGAGCTTGCCCACGTTACATGCATAAACAACAGTGTCTACTAGATCTCTTAGTACTTCTGCAGTACATATTTTCAATAAAACATTCATGGATCGCAGCAGCTACATTTAAAAGACACTTAAAATAAATAAAATTTAATAGAACTTATCAAATCATTTTAGGTAATCCGATAAGTAGTAATCCTCTAATTTAGGACTCTTCAAAATCGTCGATGCTGTACAATAGTTTTGTCACATTTATCTTCTAATTTATTAAAACGCTTCCCTAACTCATTATTGTTATGTGTATATGTGTTTTTATTATAAACTTACCTCGAAAATTGTCTTGTACATTAACCGTTTGAATTTTGGTCGCCCTGAGTAAGTTTTAAATCAGGAATAGGCCTTTCCAATGATTTAAATTAGCTTTGTTGATCAGCGAAAGTATTGATAAATTAGTTTTTAAAATAATTTGTATCGTTACACGGCTACAGAGAGAAGCTGTTGACTCTGATGGAGTCGACCCTCGTACCGTAAGGCATCGAGTTTTTGTTACCTGCTATCTAGAAAAACCACGGCCAATTGAACCCATCCCAACTTCCACACTCCTAAAAATTAGCGGGGGTCGAATCTTGGTGCTCTTTATTTATTTATTTATTTCAATTTACGTTTTTATATCTTTACATTTTCCTAATACTTAGGTGGTAGAACAGCTGGTTAAAATAAAAAATAAAATTGTTGAAAATGCTTGAAAATATTATAAAATTAAAAGAAAATTCGATTGGTTTAACAATATTGATTATTTACAATGTGTATGATATGGTAGAGAAACTCGCAGGTTTCCTTGTGGGCGGAGAACCTGAAGAAACTTTGTTTTTACCTTATGGTGTTAGTCCTCAGTGTCGTCGTAGTCTATCATTTCCCCTGCCCATTCGTTTAACCAGTGGGCTAGATCATTGTCCGTGAGGTCTATGTCCGTTGGTAAGTAGTCGAGTCCTCTGTCAGTTAGTCTGTGTCTGAGTAATGATCTGGCCGCTTGTCTTTTGTCGCTAGTGCAGTGGTAAGTTATATGTTTCGCGTCTTCTGTCACGTCGTCTATGTCGCAGGTACCGTCTGTGTCTTGTAAGTTAAATCTTTGTAGGTATGCATTCATATTTCCGTGTCCTGTCAGTATTTGTATGGTTTTTCTTGTTAGTTTCAGTTGTTTATGTCTTACTGTTTTTATATTGTCGTAAGTGGAGCGTCCTGTTTGTTCGTTTTCCCATGTGTCCTGCCATACCATTGTCTTGTCGTGTCTTGTTTTTCGTATTGTTGTTTTGTCGCTGTAGTGTATTGTCTCTGTCGGATGTATATGAGTTTCATTCGCTAGTCTATGTGCTCATTTTAAGCCTAGGGTATCACGGTTGGTATGTACGTAGCTGATACTTGTGTTTTATTGTGCCGCTATATATGTATATTTTTGTATTTGCGTAATTAGTCTGTGTCTTGTGTTTGTTTTCTTTAGAGCGTCTATAGTATTTGTCGAGTCTGTGCAAATTTGTATGTTTTGTGTTCTGTAGGTGTCTATGTTATTTGCAATGTATTTTACCGTTTGTGCGACTGCCAGCATTTCGAGTGTCTTTGTCTATATCTACTTTTGTCCTGATGTCTGTGTGTGTATGGTCCCTCTGAATTGTTGTCGCGATTGTTTTCGAGTTTCCTCAGTGTGTCTATTTTTGTTTTGTAGCACCGTCTTTGTCTGATGTAGGCGTCGTGTTTAATCTGTCTTAGTTGGGCATTTTGTTCTGTTTGGTATCGTTTTCGTGGTTTGTTTGTATCTTGTCTTGTTTTATCTAGGTCTGTTGTCCACCATCTTTGCGTCACTTTGCCTTTTGTTGTGTTTTTGTTGTTTTTGGTGTTATTTACAAGGTGTTTTTGTATGTTCGTTTGGGTAAGTTTTGCAAAGTCATGTGTATTGTCCTCTGCGTTTGTCCAATCTGTGTTGTCTATGTCTCTTTGGAGTTTATTGTGATCTAGTTTGTCTATGTTGATTCTTGATTTCCTTGTTTTTGTATTGTGGTTGTTAATTTTGTCTGTATTGAATGTGATATATTGTTGGTCGCTGAGTGTGTCTTCGTTTGATACGTCCCAGTCTAGTATGTCTATTTGTCTTGTGATTGTGAGTTCTACCCAGCTTTTTCCCCGGTTTGAATTGAAGGTCGGTGGGCTGTCGTGTGTATTGTTGATCGTCATGTCATGTTGTATTGCCCAAGTCATGATGTCTTCCCCCCTTAAGTCAGTCGTTGTGCCTCCCCAGCTGGCGTTTTTGGCGTTCATGTCGCCCCCTATAATGATGTTTGTTCTGGTGTTCTCTATATTAGTTTTGTGTTTGTTTAGTCTGTCGTTTGTGTCACCACCTGGTTCGTCGTATATGTTAATAATTCTTGTTTTTGCCCTGTTTATGTTAATTGTAATTGTTGTTGTGTTTGTGTCTGTCATGTCTCTGTGTGTGTGTGTGTGTGTGTGTGTGTGTGTGTGTGTGTGTGTGTGTGTGTGTGTGTGTGTGTGTGTGTGTGTGTGTGTGTGTGTGTGTGTGTGTGTG